GAAGCAATTTGATGAGGCCTAAATTTTAACATACCCACAACCTACTAGAAGCGGGAGGGAGTGTCAGACTCTTACTAAATAAAAACCCCCCTGTTCCTAGTCCTGCTCTAGGCCGAGGTCGCGGTGCCTCATTGCGCTTACCCCAGGCGGAAGAAGACCCTGTGATGATTTTTCCCCTCAAAAAATTCTTTCAAAACTGCACTTCTTGTGCACAGAGTCTACAGTAGACATAACCACGAAAACACCGTAAATTTTGTACTGGATTATGTACTGTGATGTCATTTTTTATTCATGTATACATTACATACATACCTATTTCTTGAGTATTACTTAGTAATATACCTAATATAATACCTATATCAAGTATCTTTCTACATCGTAAAATCAACGAATGATAGTCCGACAAGTAGATAATAATTTTATCAAATTAGGTACCTATACAGGTTTAAAAAATCGTCATATATTATTTTATTTTTAATTGAAACAAATAGGTAAGTACCCTTTTTATACCTCACTACACGTTCAAAACTGCCCATTCATCGGGATGAAAAGGCATATAGTTATGCAATAAAGAATTAAAACTTTAGCGAAACGAAATTTTAGGTCATAAAGTTAACATGAAAAGTAGATTAAATAAAGTGTAGAGTTTATAGGTTGCAACGTTGTACCTAGACAGGTCAGCTGACCTAGGTCATGTCTAAGTAGCCGGCTTACGAAATAGGTCACAGGCAATTTAAATTTTCAACGCTCCAATAAAAATAAAATCTAGTTTAAAAATCGATTTTAAATCTCATCAATCGATTATGTATTTTACGTACCTATTAATTTTAATGTTGCACGTCTCTATTCGGAATTACGAATTAGGAATTAAAAAAAAAATTTACAGTTCTATTTTTTATGTCAATTTTGTATTTTTTTTTTCTTTTTTATAAAGTGTTCGTGAAGTCAACTTGATTTAATAAATTTAATAATAGGTACTTAGGTAAGTAACAATATTTTTTGAAACAATTTACATAGGTACATGAAATTCACAATCTTATACAAACAATTAAATACTTACCCTGACTCAGTACACCCAGTCGTAGACCACGAAGAAATACAAGTACGAACGAAACTGTATTTTAACGATGTCACTTCAAATACGAATCACAAGACAAAAATTATGACGAAAAATAACAAAACATTAAAAAAAGAAAACAAAATAACGTTGAATTTTAGCAACGATATTTAAAAATAGAACATTTAAAAAGAAAATCTTTAGGTCGTCGACGACATTTTTGTTCGAACGCGCAAACTTAGGTTAACACATAGAAAAACACACGTTTTCGCTTATTTTCTTCAACATTCACAATTATTACTTGTATTAAAACGTTTTTTTATAAATTTAAACGTTATTTATGTACAAAAAACTGTTATTTTGTTAATTTTAATGTTATATGTGTCTTGCCGAACCGTTCACACCCCAATCGCGAGGGATGTTTGTCTCGCGGAATAAGATATGCATGGAGTCGTTATTATGTTGTAAAAATATTTTTATTACATTGTTAAGGGCCGGGGTGGGTTTTTGTGTGTATCGCGAATGTTTGGTTTTTATTATTGTGTATTTTTTTTTATTAATTCTTCAGTTTTTGTTGTGCGAAATTGTGGTATTAGTAATAATTACAATTATTGTAAAAACAGTGTTTCAGATTTTCTTTTTGTAATTAGTCGAAAGGTATATTATCTAAGGCAGTTTACTGATTTAAAGCATTTCTTTACATTCTTCCACATGACATCGGTACCATCTAAGAGTATTTAGTAGATAGCCATTTTTTATTTTGTCATTGTAGCGGCACTATCACGTCGCTACATTACTTAGATACGATAGAGATAAGACATACATGTTAATTGTTGCACGTTTGTTAGGATAGCTAAATCTGAAAATCTCACGCATCTTCTTAGTATATAAGCACCAGCAATTAAAGTAATAAACAGACCTTAACCATCTACAGTCTCATTATTTACCTTGCCACGAAATCTGGCAAATTGGTGACCCGACGAAGAACAATCAACATGACTCATTCACCCTGCAAATCAAGCAGCAGCCAACAAGAAGCCTTGGAGATATCAGCCGGAACCGCCATTTTTATCCCGTATTCCGGAATTTTGGAGGGACCAACCCAGATTATGGTTTAAGCAACTAGAAGCCATAGTAGCACCACAGAAGCAAGGAGACGATTACAAGTACTATACGGTCATTGCAAAACTGCCAAAAGAAGAAATAATACAGGTTAGTGACCAGTGACCTTTATTGAAATCTTCTATTGAGACACAGTTTCAACGGCCAAAGAAAGGTCATCATAATAATTATTAATGAAGCCTATTGAGGAAGCAATATTTATATTTAATAATTAACATTTAAAAAAATCGCCACAGAAATAACACATAAATAAATAAATAACTAAAATATTTAATCACAACACATCTCCGTTGCTTCCTATGTGAACCAGGCTCCTAGAAGTTACAAATACGCATGCGCCAACCCTAGTACGGTGACTGTAACAGCGCTACTAACTTAACGATGCGGGTGGACAAAAATGGAACTAACGAAAAACCTAAACTAAATAACTTTCTCACGAAGATACTAGCGACATTGTAAATAGAAAATGTTATTTGGTGTACAAGTGTCACAGTTTTTGGCGGCCCCAGTTATGTGTTAGTTTTGTTTAAATCCGCTAGAGGCGCTGGTTGTTAAGAATATTTTATTTATTTTTTATCAGCTGTGATTTTTAGCTTTGGTTGTAATCTTCAAAAAGTGAAAAGCTCTTTATAGAATATGTTGTGTGTGTTATATACTTATATTACAGAGGACGTATGTACCTACTTATTATGTCTCATAATAATAAATGCAATTATACTTATCATGAATAAAGTCTGCTAGAGAAAAAAAAATTGTTACATTTACACCTAGAGAATATATTCACAATTAGGTAGTTTATTTAGGTCAAAAATAAATTAATTCGACGTTTCAGTACAATAAAAAAAGTTGAAAAATAATTATACCTTTATTCATCAATCGATCGATACACGAAAAAATAGCTAAAATAATGTATCGATAGATTATTTTAGCTATATTTTTACAAATAAGTACACTATTTGACGCAAAAATAATATAAAGTCAAAGTCAAAATCATTTATTTCAATTAGAGTAGGCAATTTTGAACTTCAAGACGTATGACGTCATAACTCAGTGTTTCATACAAATTTCATAGAAAAGTATCGTTTTTGACATTTGGATAAAAGTATTGAATTTGACTAGATGGAAACTACCGTACCTATTATCATTAAAAAAGTCTGAGGCATAGTGGAGTAGTCTTACAAGAAGATTTTTTATGACTTCAGGAAAAAGTTGGGTTTTTTTTACGAAACCCATATGAAATGTTAGTCTTGCTACCAGGTTATTTGGTACTGCGTGACAATTCCATGGTGGCCCGGAGGTTAAGGTTGCTTCACATGCATGAGGATTCGAAACCTGGCTAATCTGCAGCGCTTTTCTTTAAATGGTAAATTTCGTCTCGAAAGTCACACACTTCTTCGCTTCTCATCTCGCTTGTACACAAACGTCAAAATACTTGTTTTAGTTCCTTTCACTTCGTTATTCACGTGGTGGCGCCAATGATGATGAGATTTCACTTCATTTGAGAACATGAAACTTTAAATAAACATGATTTTACCGCAAATTCAATCGTAACTTCGCAAATTAACTTTTGAAAATAGCATAGCTTTTGAGAAAAGACACCACTGACATACGGCGAAGGAAAATATCGTAAGGAAACTTTCACTTATAATCTCTAATTATATGTTTGAAACGCCAATCCGCCTTAACCAAGCGTGGTGATTAGTGCTAAAACCTTCTCAATTTGAGAAGGGGCCTTTGCTCAGCAGTTACATAGACGAAAATTAGAAATATGAATGACATTTCTAGTAACAAAACCTCTAGATTTAATTTTGGATTGTATCTGACAAATTGAATTTAAAACTCACAATCCACGATAACGACCAACGAGGCAGTTAGGAAGACAAGAAATAAATCGTAAAACCGACTAAAAATGTAAAAGGAATCAAATAAAGTGTTTAAAATTTATCTTTGAAGCCAAACAGGAAATAACTAACAAGCTCTTTCCAAACATCAAATAAATTTGAAGCTTAAATATAAATAAAATTAACTATCGCCACAATATTAACTTATTTCTCTCATAAAATTTTGTTTTGTTAACTGGCAAACAGCAGTCCACCATATAGCTATCAAACTCCTTGGATCAAAAAAGATTTACACCTAACCTCTTTGCTCAAAACTATCGTTTAAAAAATAACGACACTCAGAATTAAATATATTATTAAAACAAAAAATAAAACGAATGGATACGAAAAATCCACATTAAAAATCGATTCGGAACACGAAAACGAGATGCGTATATAAAAATGTCTGAGAGCTTTCGTCGCAACAAATTTAAAGGGAATATATTGCCGGCATCAATTTCAATCCAAACACTAATAAATTGGCATCTCTCAACGACGTGAGAGCTACACAGCTAGACAGTTTATTAATAGCAAGCATATTTTGTAAATCTCTGACTGTGATCAACCCTCGGCTGAATTCAGTGTCGCCTGTGTCGCCGGGCGCGTCACCCGAAAAAAAAAGTTACGATTCGGTGAACTGTCACAATTTGGCGCGCGTTTTAGTTTTATGTTTCATTTTTTTTTCTTTGGTGTGGGAAGTGCAATAAACGTAATTATTATATTACACTTTTTAAAAGTTATATTATTTTTTTATAACATTTATTATGAGAGAGAGTGCTTTTTAAGTGATAAAGTGTGTATTTAGCTCAATTTAATTAAGTACAAAATAAGTTAACTTTACAAGTTATACGTAAAATGACGTACTTATACTTATAAACAATCGATCATTTAAGCGCTTCATAAGTGACTAAATAAAACTAATTCTACAAAAAAAAACCTTCAAAATGAGTTACAACACAATATACGATGGCTACAATAACAATAATTACAAAGATTACGAATTCCAAAAAGACGAAAAGGAACTTTTAAACGAACAGTGTTGCCAAGTGAAAAATGAGCATAAAAACGGAGAAGTTATGGAGGATAAGGACGATGGTCATGTCCAACACGTGTTGGGGCCAAGCCGAAGGTGTTTAGCTTGGGCTTGTAAAGCTTGTAAAAGAAAAACTGCAGCAGTCGACCGACGGAAAGCGGCAACACTGAGGGAGCGACGGCGATTACGGAAAGTGGGTATTGAGTATTGAGGAATATTTTTATCTTAAAAAAACTTATTGGACATAGTTATTTACGTTTTTTTATGTTTATAAAACAGCTTGTACCTCTTTTATAGCGTGTGATACGCGTCAGTAACTCCTAATGTTTCGTCACTGGGCGTTTGGACAGTGCTTACCGCTTACCTACCTACGATTTTGAGCATTCGGGGCAGACACTACTTACCGTTGGGCAATCAAACTTACCTACTTTTTCACTCATTTAGGTACCTAGGAATAGGTTAGGTCTATTCTGAAAAAAGAACGCTATTTGCATCATCTAATTCTAAATCATATAAACAATGACTGTTTAAGATGTGTTCAAGAAGAGTTACATAAGTGAATCGAATTTCTGATATCACGTTGTGTTTTTTACTTTTTTTAGACGTAGGGCGGCAAACGGCCATCATGGGTACTAGACTGATGGTGAGGAAGTTATACCAAAGGAGTATCGAGTGCGTTGCTTTCAGATATTCAAAGATTAGGAAGGGATGAGGTAGGAGGAGAGATTGGGCCTCCGGTAACCTAACTCACACGACGAAACACAACGCTGTGGTTATTTCGAACTGATGTTCTGTCGAGCTGACCCATTCGAGCCGAAGCATGGCTCTCCAAAACTTAACTTTTGATACTTGTTCATCTCTTACGATAACCGTGTAATAGCAGAATGACTCCATTCTTTCTGAGTCTTCTTTACCAAAGAATTATTGCACTTAAAAAGAACTACCACTTAACAACCAGATAGCCACGTTAAAACTTATAGATAATAAAACTTATATGGAACAGTTTGTCGGCTGCAGTCTTTCCGTTCGAATACAATTTAGGTGTCTTCAAGGCTAGAGTGAATAGGCTCTTAATAAACTAGAGCGCCTTACCATCAACGATTGCATCACTGCTTACCATCAGGTAGGATCGCAGTCAAGCACTAGTATATTGCAAGTAAAAAGATTTGAAAGTTAACTTAGAACTAACTTAGTTAAGTAAAACGGATCGCTATCTACTTAAGTTACGGCAAAGTTTCTCACTAAGTTGTAAGCCTTTTAAAAGTATTGGTTTCACATATCCATATCTCACGATTGCTTTTAGTTTTATTTGTTAAGTTTGGCTCTTGGATTTGTTTGTTTAAATGGTTTTATAGTCTAATGCAGCGTTTCTCAAAGTTGGCGATAGGCTGTAGGGGGCTGGTAAGAGAACTAAAAACAGGGTGTTTGTAGAGACGATTCGTGATTTCATAAGACACGTTTTTTTTATTCTTTTTGAGATTGAAAACTTCATCAAATTACTTCTCCCACCATACGTGGGACAAGAGAAAGTGGAAGATCTTTACTGACTAAAAAAAACCCGATTGTTACTCTCCTAGTCAGCTGCTGGCTGCCCTCGCTCTGTCTAGATAAAATAAGTTTGGGAGTCTGTGTGTGTGAAATGGATAGTCGTGTGTACATACGTATATGTTACAATTACGTTAATATTTATTTATTATTTTTATTGTACACCATAAAAATATGTACAGAAAAGATTGAGATTTAATTTTCAATGGGCGGTCTTATCGCTAAATACGATTTCTTACCGACAACCTTTGGATGGGGTAAATATTACTATACGTAATTATAAATATTAAGCGAGGGATGCTTCGGCATGAATGCGCTGCCCCGTCTAGTTATACCACGGCCTAAAAGAAGACTGGCTTGAAACAACAACTAAACATTTTTCTGTTATGTTTGGTCATGTGATTGAGAAAACCATAGGCCCAGCTACCCCCTATACTACAGCGTTACGGGTGCTAAGTGGTGTATCGTGGCCCAGCCTTATAACAGGAGAAGGAACGTGTTGGCTTTTAGTCAGTAAGAGTCTGACACTGCCTCTGAGCCTACTCAGCAGAGCAGGAAAAATAATGTGACAAAAAAAAACAATCACAACCAAAAAGCTGGCAAAGCACTCGTAATTCCTAGTGGTGTTGCGGGAATTCTAAGGCGACACCGGTGGTTTACCATCAGGTAATCCATCTGCTCATTTGCTACTCTATCTCATAAAAATAAATTCAAAGCCTATTATTACGTGGACCTCATGATTATAACTGGTGATAAGTGGCTTTTTTGTGAGGGGAAAACCATTGAAAAATAACATCTCCACAGGACAGGGAATTTCAGATTCTTACTAGGCCGCGGTGCCTCATTGCGCTTGCCCCGCAACCTCGGCTGATCAGCAGCCGTATAGGGCCCCGTCTGTTGGGTCTATTGGCTCCTTGAGGCGCGCGTGGAAAGCTATGCGCCGTACGCGTGATAAATGGATGTTACATTTAACCTACATGTTTAACTTTAATTAAAAGAGGTGTCGTTCAGCTCACAAAATTAATCCAATAAAAGTATTGATAAGTTACTACTAAGCTTAACAAATTAGGGATAGTTAATTTTGTTTACAGTATTCAAACAAAATTAACTATCCCTAATTTGTCATACAACAGTAACGCCATCTACTCAACTTTATAAAAGTTATACAATTTTTGACACACGCTTTTTTAATTTGATCCCCTTACATACCGTTCACCTTGATAACTATAGGACCGTTTTAATACACGTTATGACTGATAGAGAGCGCTTTTTATCGAGACAGACTTTCTGAATCGCGGTGTTAAGATTCTCACAAAACGAATAACCTCGAGCTTGTATGCATTTGGTTTTACATTTCGCTTAGCATTCATAATTTGATGCAGCGCATTATTTGTATTGTTTTTCATCCAAATAATGTGCAATTTTTGTCAGAACTTTGCTTTTTTTAGGCAAAGTTTTATAATACTTTTAAATAATGAAAACCCTTATACTAAAAAGGTCGGCAACCGGCAACACACTCGTAAAACCTTGTGCGGGTGTCCATGGACGGTGCCGACTGCTTACCATCAGGTATTAAATATATGCATACTGGCATGCCGACCTAACCCATAGAAAAAAATTACATGTTAATTCATGTTTGCTTGGTGTCCATTATTTTTTTTTTAAACTTTTACAATAACATTGAAAAGATAAAAAAAACTACGTTTAAAAAAACCGACTTCAAAAACAAAAAAGTGTCAAATAAGTAATTAAAATTGATATTTTTAATAGCACTCTTACGTACGCGAAGCTAATACTTTTAATATTAATAATAAAACACTATCAATTCTATGTGCTACCTATTCATAGGTTTGAAGTCGGTGCCAAGCCTAATACATAATATAATAAGCATCATTACATGAGTACCTAAACTCGCCGGGCGCGTTTGAATTTATTTGTTAGGATTTAAGAAATTTAGTACCGATTTTCTAACTTGATGGCGTTAGCGTAGAATCAGAAGTCTATATGGTTTCGTTACCGGCGAAACTGTATATAGCTTAGAAAGATATTTGGATGAATTATGAATTCTGAAAGTTTTCTCGTACTTGGTTGTTAAAAGTAGTAGTAGGTAGCTGCGTTGTTACTTGTGGAAATTTCGTCTTTTAGCAGTTAAACAGTCTTAATTCTCATTTAGTTTTATTCTGTTTAGGGCTTGGCACCGACTTCAAACCTATGAATAGGTAGCACATAGAATTGATAGTGTTTTATTATTAATATTAAAAGTATTAGCTTCGCGTACGTAAGAGTGCTATTAAAAATATCAATTTTAATTACTTATTTGACACTTTTTTGTTTTTGAAGTCGGTTTTTTTAAACGTAGTTTTTTTTATTTTTTTCTTTTTAGTGTCTGTTGCAAGTTCTTCTGTAAACTACAGTAATATTTTAAATATAAATTAACATATTGAATAGTATATATTTTTAAGTAGCTATGTGTAGGCCAACGAAAGGAGCCGCCCGATTAAAAATATAGATCCCATGAAATGGGAAAGTTCTCATCATCATCATCATCATTATCATCAGCCATTTTAATGTTCCCACTACCGGGACACAGGCTATCTCTCTAGGAGAGGGAAAGTTCTTAACAATATAAATAAATTAAGTCCAAACACGAGGTAGCTCCTGTAAATCGTTGAGGAGTTCCCTAGACTGTCGTTCGTCTTCATCATCAGATCCCTAATGACAGTCACAATCCATCAAGGTGTAAAGTTCTCATCAAAACGAATAAATTAAGCTCAAACACAAGGAAGCTGCTATGAATCGTTGAGGAGTTCTCTCGACTGTCTCTCGTTTCCATCCGGAATTCCCTCGACGGTCATTGTCTCCATCATCAGGTAAACTCTACCTTCAGTTGTTATGATACATACCTACAGGTACAAAGTTTTCAACAATATAAATGAATTAAGTTCAAACACGAAGTAGTTACTGTAAACCGTTCAGGAGTTCTCTGAGCTGTCCTTCGTTCTCATCATCAGACCCTTAATGACAGTTACGACCAAGCCTGCTCCAAAGTGCTCGCCAATACGAATCATTCAAGCCCAAACACAAGGCAATTACTCCAAATAGTCAAGGAGATCCCTCGACTGTCTTCCAGCTCCAACATCTGGTCGACTTCGACCTTCGTCAAGTTGTAGTGTTGTTAAAGGCCTACTTAAACATCATACAAAAAACCTACTCGCCCCTACAATTTTCGAAAGTTCCCTTCGGTTTCTCCAGGATTCCATCATCAGATCCTGACCTCATGACAATGGGACCAAATGGCAAGTATACCCTATCGAATAAAAAAAGAATTTTGCAAATCGGTCCAGGCGTCTTCGAGTAATCGGTGTACATACATAAAAAAAAAAAAAAAAAAAAATACGCGTCGAATTGAGAACCTCCTCCTTTTTTGAAGTCGGTTAAAAAGCATACAGGATACTTTGGTTTCCAAAAGAAATAAATTATACATATATGGAAGTCTCGTCCAACTTGTCGATCTATAGAAGTCATAGAAGAAGCTTTATTCACAGTAAATTCTGCTAGTACCATCCTGTTTAATATTTTCATCATCATCATTTAATCTTTAACTAGCTACTCTCGCGCGGTTTCACTCGCTGCTTAGCTCCATTTGAT